AATAAGACACCACACTCGTACTGGCAGGATCACCTAAGTCACAAGCGACGAATCGGAATGCCTACATCAGATTGCGCCGTAAGTTCGGGTTCATCTTCGTCTAGCATGTTCCGTGACTGCTCCAGTTTTCGAAGGGCACGTTCTATATCATCGTCGCATTGCGCCGAACCACCTTGAGAGCTCATTGCAGTCTCGCGTCTAAACGATTATGATATTTGATCATGAACACGATCAGCCAACAGTATCAATTAGACCACTGACTGAACTCGGTTGAGTAATTCAGATTCATTCACTTCAATAACAAGTCTCTTGAATTACCATCAAAGCTGAAAATAATGTCCCGGTCCCATTACACTATTCACTGATTCATTTGCATACCGCAAGCTCGCAGTCAATGTGGATCTTCATCAGAATCTGTTCATTCAACACCACCGAATAGCAATGTTTCTGTTTTGAAACTGCTATGATGAATGCAATTTTCATTTAAAGGAAATGTTCTAATAGGCAACTTACTCAGGGCAATATTGATGAAAGACTTGATTTCCATTGTTGGCCGTCTCGATTGGGATGAAAATCGGATCGAGTACTTTTATTCTCGACGCCTGAAGCACAATAAATCGTTAAGATCAAGATCAAGTGCACGATAAATTTCCTATTCGGTACTCAGTAAGCTCATAGAATTCATTACCTCAGTCTGACTAAAAAGAACACCAGATAATCAAGTGCACGTATGGTTCATTATAAAAGCATGCTCTAGGCTGATCGTAAAACCCCTGATTAAATGCAAAGACCGTTACAAGACTGAACGCAAATGCCTAGAACGTACAGTGAGAAGCTCGCCCGGTTCGTCGCCATTCGACAGAACCATCACAGCATGTGCGTATCGTGGTCTCTCGATGATCAACTCGGTCGACTCTTCACCGATCTGGTCGACCATTATGTCCAAATGAGCCTCGAAGGCTCGCAGTTCCATGTCAGTCATATCTCTGAAAAAAAATCATCGAATTTCGTCAACAATTTACGTGCATTTCCNTCCGAACTAGATTTCATTCAATTTCAGACAACTTGTAAGCTCTATTTCCAAAGAATCACTCCATCAAAAAATAAGAAAAAAATTAAATAAACACTATCGTGAATTCTTGCAGCAAACACCTCTGAAACTTTTACCCATCGAATAACAAATTGAATACACGCAAGAACACAACAGAAACAATGATAAATTTATCTAGACTGCAACGAGTGCGCTAGAGAGTTGATTGATGAAACGACATCACTTCAGTCAGAGCAATAAATATTTCTCACAGCTAAAATTAAAAAAAGACACAAGACAGTTGTCGTCAAAATTCCAGTCCTTAAAAAGCGCGATACCACCTTGGAGAGTATGACGAATCTTTGACTGAAAAAATTCGCTCATATTTTCTTCAACCACACCAATTACCCAGAACGCAATCAGCTAATGCGCAAAATCGCTTTGTTAATCATCCCTTTCAGTGCTTTATGCCCAATTGAATTCACAAATAATATTGGATGTTCATCAACGAAATGACTACAAATATGAGATTGGCTCAATTGCTGCGGCGCTATCACCTGATTCAGTGGTATGTATCGAAAAAACTGCAGTACTAGAATCGGATTGAAAAAATAACCGTTAGATACACAGATAGTTTCAGCTGCTTCAGATAGAATGTTATTGTTGATGATAATGCATTGCTGAATGCAATCAAAATATTCAGCACAATTTTAGGCTTATATCAAGATAACGATGCAACGTATTCAGAAACAAATAAATCAATGCATAAACGAATCAATTGACGATAACACTGAAATGGTTTAATATTACAATACGGCACCAAGAATCTTTGCTTTGTCACGCACAGCTATTTCCTATTGTTCACTTTAAAATTCTTCACCCAAACGGTTCTGAATCTGCTTTTTAGATGCAAATTGGATATGTAATATCATTAACAACGATAAAGATCTATGTAACGTAAATTATGCTTCACATACGATGTTCAACTTATTATCAGGAGATGCAATGAAAAAGAAGAAATTATTTGGGAGAATCTGAAAACGAAAAACATAATTCATTTCAGAACAAGCAGTTAATACTGGCGCCGAAGAAGTTGTACAGCTGATTACCTCAAGTTGCTGATAAATATTTATCCACTAGTAAGATTCATTCATAAAGAAATCAAAAAATTTCTACAACNTGTATCTGTGCATATCATTCATTATATACTCCATTATCAATATTATATATGTCAGCAAAAAAAAAACGCGAAGTACTTAAGAAAAATGTTTTCTCACTCAATTCTTCAACATGTCTAAGTATGAACGGAGAATTGTTATGTGCACATGTATTTTTTTATTATCATTGCTGCAATGTGACTCTTGAAAATGGCTATCTGAGACAATTTTTCCTATTCAAAGCGTTCACACTGCACGGTATTCCATAGCCTTCTAAAATAAAATGTGAATGATAAATGAAAATCAAAGACTACCCAAATGATGAAGAACAGCAAAGAGCACCTGGTGAAGGTGATACTTCGGAAATTTTTCATCGAGAAAATTCTCCAGCTGTCACTGCACTTACATACACACACAAACAACAACCACTGACTGCATCCGTGATTTACGATGATAACAAAAGTTGATAACGAGCACAGAATGCATTACATGCATGCATGTAACAATTCGGTCAATAATAACATATCAGTATTCCAAAGCCGTCCGCTACTAACTATTCTGTACACGGCTATGAATAAAAATTGAACGGCTGGCAATAAAGAATGTATATGAATAATGCGAATATGTATTCGCACACACGTTGAAACTGTAAGAACAAAGGCAGCCAGCTAGGACATCATCAACCAAATATTGTTCGAACGCATGGAAAACATGTTCAAATGATAAACAATCATACAAATGTGTAACACAACATGTTACATATTCTCATTTATGACTCTACAAGCCCACAGTGAACGTAAGAGAGATCTGCGTGAACTGAAGCAGTGAAAGCTTATGCTAAATCATGCTAAACATTTTCATAGTATTATTTGGAGAGCAGAAGCTAGCTCATCACCAGCTTTGGAATACTTTATTCTGGCTCAACTACCCATGTACTTGATGAATTTTTGCGAATATTGCCAACGAAAATTTGAGAAAGTACAAATACGACTCAGTGAACCGATGATGACTTCAAGCGGTCAAACTCGATGANAACAAAATTTCGTGGAGCTTACAATTAATAAGAGTGCAATTTTAAGCTGTCAGATAATATTATATTGGTTCTGTAAAAACCAAGATGGAATGCTGTATGAGTGCGCCCAGCTGGTCGACTTAATCAGATCACGCACAAATGAATGATGCATGGAAATGGTTTATTCGAGAACAACAACATCACGATGATTGTTTCCATGCAATCTCATAAAGACTTCACCGTGACCATATGTCTCTTCCAAAATTTCATTTCAGTTCATTAAATTATAGAGCATTTTGAACAGAAACCAAACGATATTCTTTATCCATATGCAAAAAATTATGTCCAAGCTCATCGAAAACCTGCAAGCTCTTAAGAGGCCGTTGAGCATAAACTAAGCATAAGTCCAACTATTTGCATCAATTCGAAAAAATTCCTCGATTCCTTGTTGAACGGATTGGATAGTCGCATGAAAATCAAACTTGACGAATTGAGAGCTTGGAGAGATCAAATGTACGTTTGTGCTAAACTCAGAGAGGTGAGTGCAAAACGGTAAGTGTTAAACTCAGCTGAATTGCTGCAGAAGAATTAACGTGAAACCTTGAGAAGTTGAATGCAATTTGATTGCCGCAAGTTGACTGCCACAAGCAA